TGTGTCCGAGGCATTACAGAACCTTTCAGAGCCTGGCTTCCTTCTTTCCAGAAAGGACATTACGAAGGTGTTTCTGTTCCAGGGTATTTGTGGGATGACACGAGTGAGAGTATATATGAAGCTCTCAGAACAAGGCTCTGGCACAGAGTTTCGCTCCCACAAATGTTTCTCTTGAGTCCAACTCAAACTCACTGCTCTCGAGTCCACTGGGAGAAAATATCCCGCACCTTCTACAGGAACGGGAGCAGGTTCAGTAAAAACCACATATAAACCTCCTGTTTGATAGCAACATTCACTTGCATTTCTCTATACACGCCAGCAAACACGATCTTCCAGGAAGATGGGCCTCTTTCTACTCTCGGCTTCGGAAGTCTGCCTGTGACATCTTCCCGCCACCACTCCACGCTGGCCTCATCCATGGAGGCACCTTGTTTGCAAGTAAAATATGGCAATAGGTGCTGAGTTATTCATCTTTCTGGAAATTCGGCTTCAGATTGATCACTTTGCCCATACTGGAACCACTTCCTGGACCATTTCCTCCTCCTCCCCCTTACCCCTCCCCCCTCCCCCACCCCCTCCCCCAGCCACCCCGCCGCCCGCCATCTGTAGAACCCTCTCACCTTCCTGGGTCTTTCTCCTCATCCTTCAGCTTTCAGACCTCACACCCCCTCTCCATTCTGAAACCTATCCTCTCAAAGGGCTAGGCTCAGTGTCTCGGGCCCCTTTGTATTTATTTGCTTAGCAAGAACCACACTGGACTGTTTTCTTGCCTATCTGCCCTTGTGTGGTTCATACCGGCCACGGCGGCGGCGTCAGTCTCAGTAAAGGAAGGGCATCTATCTGCACATCCTGGCGCTCCTTCGGTTATTACCTCTTCCAGTAGAAACGTCTTGCCTCCAGCATTTCTCTGCCTCAAGATTACACATTCAATGACTGCCATGCTTTTGGCCACTGTTGAATCAGAGTGAAAGAAACCGAATCCAATATTTGGAATAAGTTGCTTCCTTGCCAGTCTAGCTACTTGAGCCAACTGGAGACAACGTTTCGTGTATTCCCCACACCCCCTTTTTTCCACCAAGTACTTAGCGAAAAAATAAAAAAAGAGAGCTCTCGTTGTAACGAAGAATGTAAGGCTAATATTGATGTTCAGGTTTTTAAATTGAAAATTTATACCAGTGCGTGTACGTAGCTGCCATGTTTTTCCAAGTGTTGGTGGATTAAAGATGAAAGAAATAAGTTATAATGCCAATCGATGAAGGTTACCTCATCACCAAATATCCTCTGCTCATTTATTTTGACGAGCCCGACTGATTTTTAATTACCAGTCCTCCTAGTATACTGGCAAATGTAGCCACCGTGACTTTGGCAGGAAAAGGCGAAATGTGTAACTTGAGCCTTCAAAATGAGTCCATGCTGACTCCTTGTAAAATGGAGTGAGGCAATGCATTTTGAAAAGAATTTCAGTAGAGCAATTTATGTGATATGTGACTGTAGTCACAAATCAGTGAGCCTTTTATGAGCCAAGCCCATCAGAATGTGCATGTGAAAATGAATGCAGGTTCTCAGAGAAATCACGTTGGCTGCTCGAAGCTTTTTCCAGGGATGCTGCCATGACCCCAAACGTTTTTGGAAGTCTTCATTTGAAGTGATTTTCAGAGTCAAGTTCTAAGTCCCAACCATAAAATACAATCTCAAATCATCTGAAAATGTGTTGTTGTGTGGAGAGGAGGGCCACATTTAAAACACCACGTGTCTACGTTTTATGGTCAGGGTTTACCTCCTAGTTACTTGCAGCAGTTTCTCTAATCGAATCTCCACTGGAGGGAAGCAGCTGTAGGATCCATGAGGTTTAGGTGACATGGTGTTGATAGACCCAAAGGGGCAGGAGCCCCTCCCGCACACGTTAAGAGGCCCTGGAGGCACTGCTGTACTTAAACAGCTATCACAACTGGTGAGCGTTGGAAAGAGCCTCACATGCATGGCCTATGTAATTGGTGCTCGTTATTTCTACATCTCCTCAGGCGGGGTATCCATGTGCAGTTCAGGTAAGATTCTCCCGAGGCCTTGAACCCATCCAAAGAAGGACCTGATTTGTTACCTCGGCTCTTGTCGCCAGTTCCTACCATAGTTTCCTTCTTCCCGACCCGATAAATTCTTCTATCAAACTGGGAGAATGAAACCATTGAAAAGAGTTTCTCTCATCTCATGCCCAACTTCTGTCTTTGCTTGTCCCCCATTACACAAACAAACAAGCAATCTTCACCCCACCCCACCCAAAATTCTTTACACACACCTGCCTAACAGCAGCAGAGTAAAATGTTCTAATATCAATGGAGAGAAGCGAAAAGCAGAGTTGGGTGTGCAGTGAGTTGTTTCAGCCAGCAAGATTGAAGGTGCATGGACTTTGCGGGTAGTCCGAGGCGTAGGAGAGGGAAGGTGGTAGCAATCCAGAAGGCAGTCTCCGGAGACCTCAGAAAATGCTGGTGACGCTGTGTTGTCACTGGGACAGGGCAATGGGGGTGGCGGGTGCAGGACCTACCGATCTACAGATAGCTGGGCCCCAGAGCTCTAAGTGTCAAAGCATCTTGGATGCTGAACGGCACCAATTTCATGTCAAGGATTTTAAGCCAAACTGCCTTTCCAGGGAGCCTAAAACACATTTTTCATGTAAGCCTGAAAGGGCTCTTCTTGACCCGGAGTCGGGCCAGCCCTGCTGCCCCACACGGCTGGACTGGGCTGGTTGGACACAGCTCTGGTCATTTCCTGGCCTTGCACTAGCTAGCCTCCTCCCTTTTCTATCTGCTCACAATAGGGAAGTGGCACCAGTTAGACGGACCCCCAACGCTAATCTCCGCAAAACAGAGCCAACCCTTCCTTCCCCCAGTTGTAAAGTGAAGCAAATCTAATCCGTCTCCTAACATTTTAGGGTGTTTGTAAACGTTTTCTTTTCCCGTGAACAAGAGATGGTTTGGAGGCACTGCAAAAGCACAGCCAGTAACATGCAGGCAGTTTATTTGTAAGATGCTGTGGCATCTGAATGGAGAAGTTTGAATTCAGCTTGGTGAAGTAAACATCATTGGACAGGAGACACCAATTAAAGGAAGGACGGGGAGGCATTGGTACGTATTGTATTATACTAGAGTCCTTGGACGGGGTCAGACATTCAAATACCGCCAAGGCTAGTAAGACAGGTCACTGAGTAAGGCAGGGGGCTGTGGTGACCTGGGCTAATGTGTCTGTGCACCATTCATCTCCAAAGGGATGATTGGCTTCATTGTAGCTGTAACATTAGACAGGAGGTGGCAGAAGAGCATGACAGGACAACCGCAGTCCAGCTCAGATTCCTTATCATGCATGATTGTGTACAGCAGCTGTTGTGACTTGGCCTCTTCCCTTCCCATGTCATCCCTAGTTCCTAAGAAGGAGTGCTTAGGGTACCAGCTAGCTAGTGGAATGGCAGAATAGAACAGGAAGGCATGTCAGTGTAACTGAGAAGACTGGGAACTCCCCCTAGAACACGAAGAAGCTCAAATTGGGAGGAAACATTGCCAGGCTTGGTAAACCCCAGAGATGTCTGCACATGATGAGTTGGATCTGATGCTCCCAAAATGCCATTTGGAAAGGGATACACGCTGAAACCAGACCCCCACCCCCCAAATCAACAACAACAACAGCAACCAGATAAGAGAGAGTTTGGCATCTTGAAGACTCAAGAAGTATAAAACTTCCTGAGGAAGTCAAGGAGAGTGTGGGGTATTTTGGACCATTAAGTCCAAGTTTGGGCGGGGCCTTTCAGTCCACAAATGTGATCATTGGCCCGGGTCTTCAAGTAGTGAGCTGAAACAGATGTAACTCTTCCAAAATACAGAATAAGCAATCTCACTACCACAGTGAAATAGAAAGATGCTCTGCTTTAACATCAGCCTTTAGACCATGTGTCACTTAAGTTCCATTAGAAGAGCTAAACTCTCCCGGAAGACATTGCTCTCCAGATTGTCAGAACACCTGAAACAGGGGCTCCACGATTATTTGTGAATCTGCTTCACTGTGTGTTCATTCGCATTTTCTATTTTACTTTGTATTTCCATATATTTTAAATCCTCTTGGTTATCAGAGAGTTTTGTTTTGCTGCTTCTTCTCCCTTTATTTCCATTTTTTTGATGGGATTTTGTTGGTCTTTACCACATCATTGTAGTCACCAAGGCCAAGGGGCAGGGGTGAGGGGCCTCTGTAACAACAATTCATTGTGGAATACAGATTTAGTGCAGAGCAATTGGATTGGAAGAAAGCCGTTGAGCTGACAAGCTGGAACCCAAAGTCTGGATTGTCTCACACTCCATCAGAGTGGAAGAGAAAGTTACTTCGAGTAATTTGCAAGTCTGAGTGTGTGTATTTTCCTCTGACCAGCACAGTGAGGATAAGAAGAAAAATGATCTATTTTTATATATCAGCACTTTGCTTAAGAATCTGTTTTTAGCTTGCTATAAATAACAAGCCATCGCCCATCTGTCAGCTTGTCATATTGTGGTGGATGACATGTCACTCTGATTCGGCGCTGACGGGATAGCGGTGGATTTATGATGCTGAAAGCTGTGCCAATCGTATTCCAAACACTGGCAGAGCCCTTTTAGAGCCCGGGCTTTCAGCAGAGCTTTCAGACTGAGACAGCCTTGGAAGAAAGGCCTTAAGATCGCCTCCCAAAATTCAGCCCAATGAAAACTCTATGGATCATAACTTAATCTTGTCCCGTAGACACAGCACTCTTCTTGAGCGCCCCATCACTGGGATGCCCCCCTTGGTGTTGGAAGGCACTCAGAATGCACAGGAGGCACCCTACTGGAATGGAGCATGCCAATGAGGGAGAAGAGGGTGCTGGACCAGGCAACTTTTCTATCCTATTGAACATGGACTTGCCCTGAATTGGACTTGCCCTGAATTGATAGCAACTAACAGCAGCAATATATAATGGACACAACTTATGGGGTTTTTACCAATACCAATTGGTTTTTTTTTCCAGCTTTACTATGGTTTTCGAAGAACTTTTGTGATGTGCTCTAAATGGACAGTCTCATCTGAGCAAGGTAGTAGCATCCTCATCCTTTCATGGATCTGCGCTGTATCCACTATAGTTAAAATATTCTTTAATGGTGCACACGCAGGGAAAGAATGAGAAGAAATGCAGAAACGCCCACCGTTGTGTGGGTTGGCGGTGTGGGGTTGCAAGTGGTTTCCCCTTCGTTCTCATGAGACCATTTGCGTAGCTTCCAAAACACAGGGCAACTCAAAATGAGAAAACTGTGCTTTTAAAGTGAGATGCTGTTCCCTTTAAATTTACATGATGATTATTTTCCTCTGCCATGCTAGATTCATTTCCACTTGCCACTCACATAGTTCTTATTGTGCAGCAAGGGACACCCCAAAGAGAGACTAGAAAGAGGGGAGACAGAATTTTTTCAAATGATGATCAAGTCAGAAGACACTTTTCCACCAAGAAAGACAACTTCTGGGGCGTGGAATCCTCCTATTTCGATATCTGAGAGTCGACTCTGCGGGTAAGAGCCGCTCACCACGGCTCGGCCAGGAGATCTCTATTTCTGTGGTTGACATCTGTAGTGCCACTGCCGCCACGGACGGTAACGGTGACAAGTGATGGGGAAAGGAACTGGGAGGCGATGCAACTCACCCTGACACATCGAAAGGATTGCCACAGGCAGCCCGGAGGCAAGTGCTGACTGCAGAGAGTCTGGCAGCTGCTCGGGTCACGCTTGCTCTGCCAGGGCATCGGAAGCAAAGGTGTTAGAATTGAGGGCAATGTCATCATTTCGTGGTTGGAATCTCTGCTCAGATTATTCCCACCTGATCCCTCTTGTGAGGTTGTATTATAAATTCTGGAATTCCCATTACTATTGATTGGTGGGTGTCTGCCTCACTGGTCTTGCATAATTATTGTGGAGAGTCAATATTCATTGCTGTACGTGCAGTATCTAGGGATGTGGCCAGGGTTAGCATTTCAGTATGAGTTCCTAAGATTTCCAGGCTGGCTTCTCATCCCCAGAACATCTACTTTGACCCACAGTGTGGCAAATGCTGGGTAGACTCTGGTGAGTGCCCATAAGGGTTATTGGTAAAACTTCTAGTCCGAGCTACTGCCCCTGGCAAGCAGACACACACGGAATCAAGTAAGGCAAAAGACTGGTGCTTACTGGGGACCCTTGGCCAGAATCCTAGGGGATCGATGGAGAGCCAGTGTGCAGACACTCAAGAGAGGAAACTTGCTCAAAGCAATGCTTACACCCACTTATCCTTCTAAGGATAAGTGCTTGTTTAAAGAAAGATAAGGTTTTATTCATAAACAGTTAATTCTTTCCTTGTCTTTTCTGCTTGTCTTGTCCAGGAATTGATAAGCATTTGCCCTTACTCAAAATGTGCAAAGAAGAATAATGGAAGCCCCTGAATACCTTGATTTGGATGAAATCGACTTCAGTGATGACGTTTCTGTAAGTATTACTAATTGCAAGCAATCTAGTCAGGGTATTCCAGAGCCTTTAGCCACACCAGGCACATCCTCTGGTGTAGTCTGTACATCCCAAACACTTCCAATGACGTTCAGAAATGAACAGTAGAAATCCTGTTTGGCTGACAAATATGACTGGAGAGTCTGCTAGACCAGACATTGAATGCTGCTGGTTTGACTTGTGTAGACAGGCCATTTAACGTGGCTGAACCTCCGATGTTTAGTGCCTTTCAATACAGTCAAAATTATTCACTGAAGTACATTTTCACCAGGTCTGCATTTAGTTAGCACCCTTTGGTTCCCTTTATGTGGCTTGCTCCAATACAGCCAGTATACTCTACAGTTTGCAAGGACTTGGACTGAAGGACGGTCAAGCCAAATTTTATTGATTGATTGAACAATAAGGAGAATCTTTCCAAACTTTGTAGGGATCAAAGCATAGGTTTGATCCTTACTGAGACTTTTGAAGGAGAGTTCTGCATTAAGAAGGACAGGAACAGCCTTCCTCTCAGGTCCTTCTTTAGTGCTGTGGACTTCATAAATCCACGTTCATCAAGTTTCTTCTGACTCTTAGTGACACTCTAGGACAGAGTAGAACTTCCTAACTTTTTGAACCCACTGGGGTTCCTGCACTGTAACACAGAGCTCTCTGATTCCCCAGAATAACCCACTGCTTCCATGTTAACTTGTGGTTCCTCAGAATGGGTGGTTTAGCAAGATCTTTCTTAGAGCTACATGTGACTCATCCTGGGCTTCCCAATAAATTCTGCCCCACCATCCAGCATGCTGGCTCTCATGCCCAGACCCATTGGACTAGCCCTCAGAGAATGCAGTCAGAAGATTTCCATTTCTGAACTATCCATGTTTCTTTTCTTCCGAGGACTTCCAATGCCACAGTTCCCTCATATCTCCCATTGAAGGGTCGAGGTCTTAAGGCCACCACTGGAAATTGCATCACCCAGATGAGTTGACTTTAACTTGTCTCTGGCAATGGCTTTATTCCCCGATTTTACTTCTTAGCTTGAAATAAAGTATGGCTCTGTACACAAACATTGAATTACCGGGAAGAGCGTGATCAGTCACCTGTTTTGTACAGCTTTTGGTGAATTTTTCTTTCTCTCAGAGAAATGAGAAATCTCTGCTTTTCCTTGGTTCAGCCACCAGATAATTTTTACTAGCCCTTAATGAGACCTGGAGCCCTGGTGACATAGAGGTTACAAGTTGGCCTGCTAACCATAACTTCAGTAGTTCAAAACTACCAGGCCCTCCTCAGGAGAAAGACTGGGCTTTCTACTCCCTTAAACAGTTACAGTCTTGGAAAATCACAGGGGTCAGTATGTTCAGCTTTGTGGCCATGAGTTTTGTTTTGTTTTCCAAAACGTTTTATTGAGAGCTAATACAGATATAATATTGCACCATAGTTCAATCCCATCGGGTGTGTTTCTTTAATAAGACCAGTGAAATATGTTTCTCTCTCCCAATCTGGTCTATCTATACCACTCCCCTTTTTCTTAATCACTGCCCTGGACTTGAACGTGTTGCGAGCCTGTGCTTCTTGTCTGGGCACTTCCTCCAAGTACCTAAGTGGGAATAGCAAGGAAGGTGAACGATAGCTTTGGAAGTAGAGAGAGGATGGAAGGTTTCACAGAAAGGAAAAATCTTCTAAGTTTGATGGTCCATCCCTAAGTTTAGACAATAAAGTTTACGTTCAAGAGCATAGGCTTTGTAGGAAGCCATACCAGGCTCTGACCTTCTCTTGACATTTGTTGGCTGCTCGGTGTGGGGCACATTAGATCCACCTCCACGAGTTACCAACTTAATATTTACGGTTGTGTTGAGGATTGAGTGAAAGGAGAATATATGTCAAGTACTAAGCTCAGCACAGAGATAGTTGCTCTTATAAATGGTAGCTTTTGTTATTGGTAACTGAATAATACAGTAATATTTATGTGACCAATGGTGAAGAAGGAGCTCCAGGGAAAACACTAGACATGATGTCAAGACTGGTTTTCCCCCTTTACTAAATACAACAGAAGAGCAGTTGTATTTACAGAGGAATCATCTGGCAGCAGCCCATAATTTTGATGAATGAGGTATCTTCACTTGAAAGATAATAAAATATGCTAAGCAATAATTGAGGCTTTTTAACAGCTTCAATTAGGATGCAGGGTGATGTAATGGCTGAAGGTTCTATAATTTGACCACACAGAATCATAAATAAAAATAATCGTCTGTAGCTGCATGTACAACTGACCCCAAACCTTCCCGCATTAAATAAATACTTATTATTTTGGATCTTTATTGTGCACTAAAACTTAAATTAGAAAGAAAGCAATGAAATTATCTAGAATTTTTGAACTAAGGAGTCTTAGTGATGTAGTAGGCTATGCATTGGGCTGCTAATACAAGGTTACTAATTTGAACCCACCAGCCTTTCCCTGGGAGAAAGATAAGGCTTTCTGCCCACCGTGGAGAGATTTACAGCCTCAAGAACCCTACATAGAGTTGTTATGAGCTGGAATCAACTAGGCAACTTTTTTTTATTGAAGTGTAATAGTTAACATTTATTTATTTTTTAAACCTTGGGACAGGCACTATCCTAAATGTTATTTACACACATTATATATTTTCATTCTTATCACAATCATACAAAAAAGGTAGTATTAGTTTAATTTTACCTATAAAGAAATCAAAGCTCAGAGATAATAAGTAACTTGTCTAGAGCCACCCAACTAGTTCATAGCTGTCTGGCTCAAAAAGATCCACTTTCAGTCACAACACTTGATTGCAACCCTATAAGACAGGGTAGAATTGTGCTGTTTAAGTTTCAAAGGAAACTCAAATCTTTATGGGAGAAGAAAGTTTCATCTTTGTCCCAGGGGGCAGCTGCTGGGTTCAGACCACTAATCTTTGGATTTCGTAAGCAAATGCCTAACCCACTGTAGCACCAGTGTTCTTTAAGCTACAACTGCCCCCTGCAATCCAATCTATTTCAACCTATGTTGACTCAGGTCACTCCGTCATCATGTTGATTCCAACTCATAGCGACCCTACAGGACAGAGTAGAACGACTCCTTATGGGAGTAGAAAGTGTTGTCTTTATCTTGAGGATCGCTAGTGGTTTCGTACTGCTGACCTTGTGGTTAGCAGTCCAGCATGGAAATGCTTCACTGTAAATCTTTTACAGTCTCAAAGTAGACAGCTTCATGTCTCTCCCACGGAGCTGCAACTCAGTGTTGAGCCACTGAATATGTGATTAGCCCAATGCCTAACATTCTGTGACGCCGGGGGTCCTGGAGTTGCACATGATCTATTTCAGCGGTTCCCTTTAGGAGTGATTTCTCCCCTGTCCCTTCCCCCCAGGACATTCGACAATACCTGGAGACACTCTTGGCTGCCATTATAGAGGTGCTGCTAAATAGCCTATAATACACAAGACAGTCCCCTACAAGAAAGCCCTGAAAAGTCTTCTATAGCAAAGGCCCAAAACATCAATATTTCCAGTGATGGGAAACATTGGTCTATTTTCCTTCACTTGAAACTAAAGACACTCTACTTTGGCAACTTCGAGAACATGGGTCTTAGTTTCCTAAAGTTGCTGAGACAGAAGTACCACAAGTACGTGGCTTTAAAGAACAGACACTTATTTTCTCAGGACTCAGGAGGCTAGGGGTCCACATCTTGTCTTGGCCCTGACAACTTCTACTTTGTCTCTAGCACCGGGCAGTCCTTGTGCCTGAGCAATCTTCAAGTGGCATCTGTTTCCCCCTTGTGTACATGGACTTGGGTCTTTGTGTACATACTACCGATCATGTAATCATAGTGATGAAGTTAGGATCCACCGTGTCCTATCGTAACTGTAACTGATTACTTGATTATATTACATTAGATTTCATTTGGAAGGTAATCGCATCAAATTAAATGAGATTTCATCTATACGTATTAAAATGACCTTTTGCCATCCATTCAAGGTCAACTCCGAATACCTATGTCTTCAAGAGTGGTGCTGCCCCAGGGAATTTTATTGGCTGGACTTTGAAGGAGGCTGATCTCCAGGCCTTTCTTCAGCGAGGCTCTGAGTGGATTCAAACCACCATCCCTCAGGCTAATTGTTGAAGAACCATCTCTGTCACCCAGCGATCTCTGTCTAGGTTTAGGAGTTAAGATTCCAACACATACTTTGAGGCAACACACTCCCATCTAAACATGGTAGATTATTTTATGAAGTCTATTTCAAGTTCGAACTTAAAATTTTTCAGAATTGTATTTGCCTAACCTATTGATTTCATTGGGATCATGGGAAGCTGAAATATCCTCTTAAAGATTAAAGTTACTGTCTCCGTCTCTAACCTAGGAGCAATGAATATTGCAGCTGTTTTTAGAGCTACATGGAAACTATTCAGATGCTCACATTGAAAAATGAATATAGCTTCAACTGGCTAATAACTCTAAAATGAATTGAGGTCTCCCAGAAGCCTCCATCTCTGACAGCCCTTAAGCCTCTCTCCAGGTTAAGTGGCGAGGAAGAAGAGGAAAATGCACATCATTTTTGAAAAGGAGATTTACAGAGAAGATGCCTGAATTTAAAACTCTCCTTGTGTTCCAGCCTCCCCCCAGCCCCCGCCTGTTTCAGAGTGTAGACTTTCTGTTTCATGAGTGTGCTCCTGGTTAGGAGCCTAGTTCTTGTTTTAATTAAAACACAAGCTGTATATTGGTACAAAAAACAACTAGAACATTCATGCCTTTACCTAATGAGACAAAACACAGAAGGCAATCTAATTATTTTAAAATTTCCCAGACTCTGAAATTATGTGCATCTTTTGCAAAATACAGAGATTAAACTATACATTCTTGTAACCCTGCCATAATCAAGAAGGGCAGAACGCCATCCATTAACTGCAGCCCCGTGAGAGCTAGGGCAACACACCTGGACACAATGGCTCCAGGTTGGCTTTTCTTTCACTGCACACGGCTTGATAGACT